GCCCTTCAGTTAATCCCACTGGTGTTTATCGGCCAGGCTGGCACAATCAACTATCTCAGGCTGTGAACCCCAGGCATGGCAGGGAACAAACCACCTTTGGATCTCTGCTCTGAAAGACTGAACATTCTAGAAGTGAAGCGTGGAGCTAGACATGCTCACCTCCAGACTTCCAGCAAGATGGCGAACTGGGCAGACACACTACCCAGACGCGCTGCAACAGTGCCAAATAACCATACTCACTGCCATTCATGACGTGGATGCTGACTCACAGCAACCTGTACGACAGGGCAGAGCTGTCCCTGTGGAGTCCTGGGAGACTGGAGTAGAAACTCTTCACGGGAGTAGAAAGCCTCATCTTTCTCCCTTGGAGCAGCGCATGGTTTCAAACTACCGGCTGCTTGAGATTAGCAGACCAATTAGTAACCCACACGCCACGAGGGCTCCTCATTTTCAACTCCACAACCAAGACCAGAGAGAACCAGAAAAGGCCGATCATCCTGGAATCGTGAGCTTCAGAATACGGGATGGAGACGTGGACTGAATATCGACGAGGAGAAGCCGCTGAACAAAATGAACCAGGAAAGAGACAGCTGGGTGAGTGGCCACCCGGCCTGAGGCTGCACTGCTGTGCCGAACTTCTGCCAGCAGCTGGCCAGACAGTGGTCAGTCACCGCCGCGAGCCATCAGCTGGTGATGAGAAAACTGGGGTCCTTCCTTGTTCCTTACACCCTCCTGATGACCAGACACAGGCCCAGTCCCCATCCTCGCCGACCAAGTGGCTGGTGGCTTCCCACCCCAGGATAGTAGCGCCTGCTGTCGAGATCAGGCTGTTGCCCTGACATCCAGACTCCTGGTGCACCACCGCCACCATCTCGCCAGGCGGGACGCACGCAGTGCCCGGCGCAGAGTGGGCACACGCTCCTTCCATAACCAGCTGCCCTCTAGAATAAGAGAATTCCCTCCGAGAGCAAGCACCTGAGGAGGCCTGGATCCCTCTCCTGAGCCCAGACAAGAAATAAATCCAGCCCACTCCAAGAGGGCACTCACCAAACCCCTGCCATGCAGTCAGTGCTGACCCATGGCGCTCCTGGGGGTTTCCGAGATCCCCACTGTTGACGGGAGTAGAAAGCCCCATCTTCCCCCTCGGAGCTGCTGGTGGATTCCAACTGCCCACCCCGCGGCTCGCAGTCCAACACGTAACCACAACGACACCAGGGCTCCTAGTTTCCAGATCACACGGCTCCCGAGGCTGTAACTCTTCACAGGAGCGGACGGCCTCATCGTCCACACTCCCCCAGGAGTGGCTGGGTGGGTTTGAACCATTGACCTCAAGGTTAGAGGTGAGCAGTCCTTGCGGGGCCACAGGCCTCTGACCTATAGACTGACAGGAGCCGCACTTGGGCCTGGAGGGCCCTTCGCACTCCAGGAACTCCTGGGCTGGCCCAGGGCGCAGACGCACACCAGGAGCCCGCCCCCTCGCTCTCCCTCCTGCTTTTCGTTCCAGGTTCTCAAATCCTTTCTCTCTCCTTTCCTCTGGGCCCTTGCCTTTGTTTCTTGTTTGTCGTGAGTCCTCCCCCCACTCTTGCTTCGCTTCTCTCTCCGCTGTTTGCCAGGTCAAAGACACACACACACACACACACACACACAGCCCCTGTCCTCTGTGGGATCTGGCCTGCTGTGCCCATCCGGTTGCCACCTGGAGCAGGGGCACTGGCTCCCTTGAGGACCTGGAACAGGTTCTGTTAGGTCACCAGATCTAGGGTCAGGGGGTTGTCCCTCCCCTGCCTGCAAAGGCACCCATGGAGGAGGTTGGAAAGACCTCAGGCAGCCATCACACACCTATGAAGACCCAAACTGAGCATGCTCAAGTCCCTGAGCCAGGTGGGAGGTACACCTGGGTGCCCAAACTGGGCCCAGGCTCACGACCTCACACAGGTGGGCCTAACTCAGGCAAGGGGGTCAACTAAGACCATCAACCAGGCCTCCTCAGCCAGAGGTTTGACATATCCTGGCTGTGGAAGGCGTCGCTCTCTTTACCCTGCTCCTGGTCAGAGGGAGGGGGAGGGTCTCCCTCTCCCTCCCCCATACGGGGCGCACACATGCCCGCTCCAGGCCTACTTGGGGCCCACAGCCTCTGGGCCCACGTGCTCTCAGCCTCTAGGGTTCTTGGGCTTCTTACCCCCGAGGTCCCCCCCCAAAGTTCCACACATGTGGGTGCTCATTTCTACGAGGTTGCTCATGCCCAGTTATTGAACCCCTTTGAGGGCGTTGGCGTGAATTCTGGCAGTGTGCGGAGCCAAGAACTGTGGGCTGACCCACTGGGGAACCTGACAGGTCCAGGTCTGCAAGGTCACTCATGATGGGCATCAGATGCCCTCCCCGGCATGCCCGGCCCTTTGCCCTCACACTCACTGCCGGCAAGTCTGTTCAGACTCCTGGTGACTGCACAGGGCCGAGAGGACCACTGCCCCTGTGGGCTCCCAAAGCTGGGGACCTTAGAGGAGCCCAGAGCCTCGTCTTTCTCCCTCGGAGCCACTGCTGGAGCCAAACCGCTCACCCTGCAGTGATCCCCGATGCTGCCTGGGCTCCTGGTCCTCACAGCAGGGTGGTGGTGGGGAATCCAAACCCCGGAATCCCATTCACACACACCCAGGCCCTGGACCCAGAGTCTCTGGGGAGACTTCACCACCTTCCAGCTCCAGGCTGTCCATCAGGCACCTCTTCTCTCTGAGCCTCACCCCCTGCTGACTTAAACCACGGCAATGCCTCCATCCTCAAGCGCATGTATGGATTGTGTGTATGTGGGTGGGTGGAGTGGGGTGGGGAGGCCTTAATGTATGAACTACATTCTGACCAACGCTCAGCAAACAATTGGTGCTCTAATGGGCCTTCTACGCCCAAGCCAGGATTTAAACTCGCCACCAGGGGGCAGGGCTGCCCATGCCTGGCATGGACATCAACCTGCGTCTTACTGATTTCCAGCGAAGTCAGGTTCGCCCAAGCTGCCAGGAAGGCCTCCATTCTGGAAGCCCCATCAGTCAGAGCGGACAGCAGCAATCCCAAGGTTGCAAGGGTCGGGGAGGGGTCATGCCCAGGAGCTAGGGGGGGTTCCCCCAACCCTGGAGGAATGGGACCCCTGGTGGTGTGGGTATGGAAGGAAGGCATTCATGTGATACTCAGTGTCTTTGCAAACAATCGAGCTGGCAAAAGCCCCCCACGCCTGAGGTGGGGGTGTCACAGGAGGGGAGAGTGACCAGGGCAGGATTTGGGCACTCCTGGCTCCCGGAGCCAAATACCATCTTACCCCACCCTAGTAGGGTGTCTGGAAACAGCCTGCTTGCTGTGTGACTAAACCTCTGTGTGTTTGCCAGAGCCCGTACCCTGCCGACTTGCCCCAGACATGTATCAGCAGAAATGCCCCCACACACCGGGACACAGCCCAGTAGGGGCAGGTGAGCGCCAGGAACAGCAGGCAGAGGCTGCGAGGTGGTGGCTGAGCCTGTCCATTTAATTATTAAAACCACACCTGTCTTGGAGGGAGAGTCCAGGAGACACGCCCTTCCCCAGGGAGAGGATATGTGCAGTGTGCAAAGCCTTGCAGAGGCTGAAGGGGCCAGAAAGTTGCTCATAGTGGCGGATCCGTTCAAAGTCCCTAGTTCAGCAATGACAGCTGGGAGGAGACCCAGCTGTGCAGGCGAGGAGGCCCGAGCACAGAGAGTTGGAGCGATGGGAACAGTCAACGGCTCCAACTGCAAAGAAAGGCATGGGGTCCCACCCAGGGCGGTGGGTTGGTGCCAACTCCGTACTGTACTTCGTCCTGGATTCTAGTGGTGATCGGGTTGGGGCGATGGGGCTTGGATCTGCCCGCGCTCTCCTGCTTCTGAGGGCGGGAACAGGCATGCTTCTAAGACTCTGTTATTTGAGTTGACGGATTGTCTCTCCATCGTGGTGAGCCCTTTGTAGAGGATGCTACGTGCTCCTGTATGCACACATGCTCACGCCTCATGCATGCACATGCTCGGGCCTGCTGAGCCCAGGGACCCACGTGTTCAGTAGGCTGCCAGGAAGCCGGAATCTTGAAGGGATGTCAAGATCCTCCCACCCCCACCCCAGGTACAGCCAGCGTGGCTCTTGGCTGGCGGTCTGGGGTCTGAAGAGACGCATGTTGCTGGTCACAGGTGGCGGGCTGCTTCCCAGAGGATCTGCAGGGCCATGGAAATGCAGGGGAGCTGGGCCAGGGTGTAGGCCAAGGAGCGGGTGGGTGCCCGCAGCTTCCCCAGGTAAGCCACTGTGTGCACCAGGCGGCCCACGAAGACGAGGAGGAAATGCATCTGAGCGGTGAAGGGGTTTGGCCCCAGGAGGGAGTAGACGAAGCCCAGGAACAGGAATGGGTAGATGGTCTCCATGTCATTCCGGTGGGCCCTGGGGAGACAAGGGGTATGGTCAGCCACATGCTAGGTTTGGGGGCCACGGATCCTTCTAAGACTGTCATTAAATTGCCGACCTTGGCCTTGAGGGGTGCCAGACCTCGACTCTGCTCATGGTCAGCACGGGGACCGGGGGTGGGCTTACAGAGAGCCGAAGGGGCAGCAGCTCCCAGCTTTACCTGAGAGCAGCTGAGACCCCAAAGTGGCCAGTCAGTGGGTTGCTCCTTTGGAAGTGTCTTACCTGGAGCCCCGGTGGTATAGTGGTTATGTGTCAGGCTGCTAACCACAAGGTCAACAATTCAAAACCACCAGCTGCTCTGTGGGAGAAAGACGAGGCTTTCTACTCCCATCAAGAGGTCCAGCCTCAGAAACCCACAGGGGCAATGCTAGCCTGTCCCCTGTCCTCTAAGGTCGCTCACTGTGAGTCCAAATGGGCTTGGTGGCCCTGAGTCTGGTTTGGGATGTGTCCCATGGGTGTGTGCCTCCCCTGAAGAGCGTGTTGCTAAAAGTCAGCACCCACTGGACGGCATCCGTGGATCCCTCGCTCTGCCACACTGGCCCCTGGTCCTTGGCAGCAGCCGTGAAGAGTGAGGCTCAGAAGGATCATCATCTCCCCAGCTGAGACTCGAACTCACGTCTGACTGAGTGTCGGTTCCCTACCACCAGCCAGAGCAGGGTCGCTCTGAAGCAGGCTGCCCTGAGGCCACCCCTTCTTCAAACGCAGCTCCCCGGGCCCTTCCACAGAGCCCCCGAGAAGCGCTTGACTACTAACAAGCAGGTTGGTGGTTCAAACCCACTCAAAGGCGCCTCAGAAGAAAGACCTGGCGACCCGCTCGCAAAAGGCCACACCCTTGAAAATCCTGCTATGGGGCACTCTTCCACCGGCAGCACGGAGGACCCTCACCTGGAGCAGGGGTCGGCCAGACTGCAGCCGGGGTTGGGTTTGGGTTTTGCTAGGGGGCGCAGAGGTGGGCAGAGCAGGCGGGGGAACCTGTCCTGGGTGGAATGGGCTAGAAACAAAGCATGCACTGAAAAGGAACGCCTGACTCGCTCTTGTTCAGCCTCGAGATATCAGCTGCTGCCCCTGCCCCCGGCCCTGCCTCAGACCCGAAAATAACAAGAGCAGCGTCCACTTAGGGCGGGGACCAATCATCGGGCCCTGGCAACGCACTTCATTCCTGCTCGCCGGCGTCTTTGTTTGTGTGTTTACAATAACTGAGTGTGTGGGTCGGTGTGGTAGCGTAGGGCAGGGGCCCGTGTACGGCCCTGAGGTAAATACATGACCACGGAAGAGCTGCCTCACATGTTCCATGACCTCGAGCAAGGGTCACCTTCCTTTATGACCGGTGGGGAGGTCGAGTCCCCGAAATGAGAGAGACTGGCTGAGTGATTGAAGGATGGATGGCCCCAGCGGAAGCTCGAATAAACAGGAAACCCGGTTCCCCGGCTATGACCTCCCCCAAGGACAGAGGCCACGTGTCCAAGGTACAAGCACTCTGTTGGTCACAGAGGCCCCTGCTCCAGGCTTTCTGGCTGGGATGCATTTTGCCAGTGCTGAGCAACCAGCGAGGCCCAATCCCGCTGCCCCTGGGCATGCGCTGCAGCAGACTCCCTGTTTCCTCTTCCCACTGCCGTGGGTGTCTTAGCCGAGGGCGGTGGTGTTCCAGCCTTACTGAAAGACAGTGGGCAGGCTGGGCCCCGGGCAACCCCAATCTGCAGGAGACCCTGCAGTGTGACAGAGGAGGGGGCTGCTTAGGGAAAGGGCCAGGTGGCTGTGACGGGAAGCAGATCTTTCCAGAGAGCGGGAGCGGCATGTGCAAAGGCCCTGAGGCGGGAATGAGCACAGCTTATGTTCAACATGAAGAAAAGAGACCTGTGTGGCTGAAATGTAGTACACGGATGGAGTGTGGCGGGTTAGGGGTAGGAGAAGGGCCTGATAAAGGAGGACAAGGAATCTAGGCTTCACGCTGAGTGTATAAAAGCCCTTCCCGTACACCCAGCAGGGCCTGGGGCTTTCTCACACCAAACTCCCTACAGCCTAAGGCTGACACGAGCCACCCTTCTCCTTTGCCCTGGAGTCTATGCCTTGAAACCCAGCCAGGGAGAAAACACATCTACAGAAGGAAGAGCCGAGCCCACCCCACCCCGTGGGAAGACTGCTGCCTACCTGTGCCCTGGCAGGACCCAGGGACATGACCACAGGGGAGACGGTGCCATGGGAAACTCACCCATTCAGATACGCTTCCTTAAAGTGTGTGTGTTCTACGAGTGAGTCACTCTACAGAGGAAACTTTCAAGAGGATCGTAATGGAAGGCGGTACATGCATGGCCAAACCCCAGAAGGTGGGGGGTTGCGCAGGAGTGAGGAGGAGGACACACTGGAGACGGGCCACCCCACCGGTGGCGGAAAACCACACCACGGGCGCTGAGCCCTGCCCCCTAATCCAGAGGGCCTCAGTGACTCAGAGGGAGGGGCGGATGACCCAGTAAGCAAGGTAAGCACCAGCTTACTTGTGCTCACCTGTAGTGAACCATTTCAGAGACGTTTCACCACAGGGTGTGATGAAAGACAGGTGACACTGTCCTCTACAGACGAATAAACAAGCACAGGTATGGCCATGCTCACCTTGGCTCACCGGGTCCTCGATCCCTGTCAGGGTCGATACGTTTGAAAAGTGGTTTGGATTCTGTAGGAAGGTGCTACGGGGTTGACAGACAGACAGGTGCCAGCCAGACTTAGAAGTAGAATCTTTGATGTAGTTTAAAACAAAAAAAATAAAATAAAATTATTCACTGCAAATTATTAAGTAAGCACATGCACGTTCACATTTATCGTGCTACCTGGATCTCAGACACTGCACGGAGGTCAGAGGGTGTGAAAGGAGACGCGCCTGGGAGCAGGGCCGCGGAAGACTGGAGCCTTGTCCCCGCCCCCCCATCCCTCTGGTGTGTTGTCGCAACTCTCAGTGGTTTGGTTCCCAACGAAGCCACAAGTAGGGCCGGTAATAGGGAGAAATGGGAAAACCATGATGAGGAAACTCATCCCTCCCTCCGTCCCTCCCTCCCTCCCGGATCTGAAGAGCTCCAGGGAAGGAGTCACGTTCCAGGAAGACATTTGGGCAAAATGTGTCATTGCAATCAGAGCCACTCTTTTGTAAAAGGCAAAAACATCGTGCAAAGCTAGACTAGACTTGCACGATAGCTCCCCTTCAATAGACATTGCAACAACTGCCCTTGACCACATCTCAGCACTGTGGTGGGGAGAGGGAGAAATGGGGTGCCCACCCCCCTACCCATCTATTGACCCTCACCGGGCTTCTCCACATCCCAGCTCAGAAGGGTTCCCTGGGCCCCGCCACCATCCACAAGCCTGTTCCCAAGTTCAGGTTTGATACAATGTAACAACCGCTCCGTTTTTTTTCATAGGAAGCAGGCTACCTCATCTTTTGGGGAAGGAACAGCTATTGTTTCTGTTAGTAGCCCAATGCTTAATCCACAGTGGCCCCAGGCACCTTCGTTTTAAGGCCAAGGCCAAAAGATAGCAAAACAGCAGGAGAGGGGCTAGGGCGGAGCCGGGGTCTCAGATTACCTGGGCTCCATCTCAGCCTAACAGTGATTAACTTGGAAGCCTCAGAGAAGCAGTTTCCTTATCTAGAGTGAAGAGTGTGTTTCCCAGCGGGTACCCGCTGGGGACTGAGCAACTCCCTCTCCCTGGGCTTCAGAACACCATTATCAAAGCAATAGCATTGGGTGACATCTAAGGGACGTCTGGTGCTGACATTTGGGGGCCCTGTCTCCCAGCAACCAGCGACCTTGATTGAATGAAGTCTACCCACTCCAAAGATTCCAGAATATTCTAGCGCTACGGTCAAATGTCAGCCACCTTTCATGGCCAGGAGATGGGACCCAAACCCAAACCCAACCCATTGCCATCAAGTTCATCCCAACTCACAGCTACCCTATAAAGCAGTGGGAAGCGGTCTCTGTGGGTTTTGGAGACTGTCCCTCTTCAGGGTGCCAGGAAAGGGGTGTGGCTGGGCATGTCAGTCTCCTTTAGCACGGTGCCCGGTTTCTGCCAGGAATCGGACTTAAGTGTTTTCCTGTTTGGACAGCAAGGGGCTGTGCGCCTGGACGATACGTAGTGGTCTAATATTTAACTAACTTTTACTTCCAAGGCTCGCTCGCTCAGGTTCTAGCTAGTTCTCCGGGAGTGGGGGCAGGATGTGTGATTCTCTTAGTTTAACACGCTCTCAGGTTTCCATGATGCCCTCAGGTGCTGGAGGCGGGGGCCCAGCGGCCCAGGGACCCTAAGTCCAGAATGACTCCTAGGACAGTCGGTCTAACACTCAGGGACCAGCACACTGAGTCTCCAGTAAACACTGAGTGGACATGAAGCACTGTTAGATAGAGAGGTGATCAAAAGGGAATTTCAAGCATTTAAACAAAGGAAGAAAAAGGAGCCCCGGTGGTGTAGTGGGTTATGCGCTGGGCTGTTCGAAGCCACCAGCCACTCCGTGGGAGAGAGATGAGGCTGTCTGCTGCCTTAAAGAGTTACAGTCTTGGAAACCCAGCGGAGGCAGTTCTACCCTGTCCTGTAGGGTCCCTAAGGAGTCTGAATCAACTTGATGGTGGTGGGTTTACAGGAAAGGGTCCCTGGGTGGCACAAATGGTTTGCACTTGGTGACTAACCTAAAGGTTGAGGGTTGGGTCCCCCCTTGTGCACCACAGAAGAAAGGCCTGGCTGACTCACAGTGACCCGATAGGACAGGGCAGAACTGCCCCT